CTAGCATGCAAGTAGACTGCTGTGCGCACACAAACCTGTCATTCCTTGAACCTTCACAATAGAGGTTAAATATACAAAGTCACATGACCACAGTAATTAGAAGTACATGAAGTTGAAATAAACTGAAATTGTCATTTTGAACATGTCTAGTAAACATCTTAGGTGGCCATGAATAAATGTATCCAATTATGGCATGCTCTACCCAACATGCAACACATGAGCCATCTTCACCGCTAGCTTGAAGACCACGGCAGCCAGAACTGTACTATCATATTATGAAGGGTGTTTTGGGTTTTCATTTGGAAAAACTGTTCCAATTTTCAAAAACTGTGGTTATAGCCTGTTTTACTAATTTAATTTTCCTCTTCTGGATCAAAAAGTGTAGTTTGGCTATGCTCTTCCTCAACTCCTTTTCACTTCTTATCTCTCTGCAGCTTTCTTCTATGCTATATTTACTAAGCAGCCCACATTTATGATTTAGAATCTTCTTATAATTAAAACCACCTCCATACATATTCTGTTTCAGTTTGAACTACGTCACTCCACTGCTGATAAAGAAGCTCTAACTTATTAAACAAACCTTGCTTTTTCTCTTTTCTCTGTGGCACTTTCCAGTGATGTTTACAGAACCTGAAAAAATGTCCCCATCTGAAAACTTCATCTCCAGCTCAGCGGTTAATTTATGTCTAAATCAGACAGCCGCCAAATATGAAGTAGTTCTCAAGTTTACGAGTGTTTGGTGCTTGAATGGGAAGTAAAATCAATGCCAATCCAGGTTTTATCAACAGTCATTTTCCCTCTGCATACTCCCCAGTGAATTGAAGTGATTGTTGCAGGGGCAAAATACAAACCCTGATTGTGGATGGGGAAAAAAGGAATCAACAGGTTCCAGTTTGGTTCTCACACCTGAATCCTGTTTTTCACACGTTTTCCTTTCTAAAAATTATATTTGTCTTTTTAAGATTTGACATTTTGACCACAATGTTAGCAATAAAGAAATTTGTGTGTGTACAACAAAAAAGGCCAAAAATATTACATACTGGCATCTCTATCAAAGGTTAAGACTGAGAAAATGTAGTTTCTGCATGGTGGAAACAGATGCTGTTGTGGTTCATCCTGGCGCCATTTCAGGAAGCTGGTATAAGCTAACAAATCTGAATTTGTTAATCTTGACACGACAAAACTCCAGTTTTCTGCTTCAGAAAGAGTTAACCTAAATTCTGAGCTGGTTACTGAGTTAACAGACTCTGAACTTAACCTGCTTGCTGGCAGGTTTTCTACAACAAACTGAGTTTGACTACTCTCCTCCTGCGGTACCTGAACCAACTGATTGTGGTTTCGATTCCTCATTCATAAAGTCGCTGTCAAAGCTCGATGCAGAGCAAATCAACTGCAGAAGTTTTCATTTTCACAAACTTGAAAATCCCAGTACTTAACATAAGTGCTAATCAGTAAGATGCTAATTTAAGGATGAAGTCAACTATTACGTCAGATTTTACATTTTAACACTTATTGAAACCTATTAAACATTTACTTAATATTTAAAAAATGTTATTTATATAATTTTATAACTGCCTGAGGTTGGATGCACCCCAGAGTTTATTTCTATCTGGATAACTAATGTCACGGGTCAATTAGTAAACTGTCTTATCTGTTTCTCTGTCATTTTTTTCCACTTGCATTTTGTCCCCGGCAGGTTGAAATTTGAAACAGGGATTCCAGCTTCTATTGAAAATTCAAGTTGTGACCAGTATTAAAAGAATTATTATTTTTGTATCAAACTTTTATTCTGTCTATGTTTATGGTAGAGCTATACAAGCTAAGTCTCATGCACACTCTTTTGGTCCGATGGATTAAAATGGAGGTCAGATGATGGCTTTCTTTCTCTGCTTAACTCAGGAAAAAAAAATACTCAAGAGCTGTCGAAACTTACTCTGACCCACCATACTGGAGCAGGACACTCAGAGTTGCTGAACTTTGAGTTTAAAAATAAACTCAGAGTTTGTTGAATACACTTCCTGGAATAAGGCCCTGAAGCCACAGCAGACAGGACAGGAGGAGAAATAAACCATATCTGTGCAGCAACGTTGGTTCTGTGACTCTAGTTCTTATGGAGTAAAAGGGGACCACTGTGCCTCTGCTTTTCAGTGGCCAATTTACAATGACTGACAGGTACGTTTCACTACAAACTTTCCAAAACAACCTCTTCTTTCCCCTTTAGTCAATCAAAACAGACATTCTGACTAACTCTTACATTGTCAGTCAACACGACTCTTCCAGCAGGCAAATAACGGCAGCCCAAAGTTGTTGGGTTTCTTTTTTTGAGGAGCCACTGGTCCTCCCGAGTGAGTCTGGCATTACTCTAAAATTTCTCTTAAGCATCTGCATTACCTGTAGCACGAACAATAGGATAAGCAGTGGTTTGACCTTAGAGCTAGAGGTTACCTGTGTTGCTGACAGGGGAGGAGAAGGTCAGTTACAGAGAGAGAGGGTTTAACCTCCCTTACCTCAGCATCGCATTAAAGGAGGAGGAAGCAAAATGAAGGTAAAAAAAAACAAAAACAAAAAAACAACTCCAAATCCAATCTTGGCCTTTTGTTTTTGTCCTTTATCGTCTTTATTTTTCCATCTTCATCTGTTCTTTACCCCTGCGGCTTGATGCCACCCATTGTGCCCACATTCGCAAGAAGGCTTTTCCTTCAGTCTCTTCTCTCTGTGCCTTCTTCCCCTCCTTTTTATCTCCCCCTGTCCCTCATGCTCTCTTTTGACAGCCAACGCAGCACCTTTAATGGGAGCCATCTCCTCATTAAATACCTGCAAGGTGTCTGCAGTGGTTTGGCAGGGATAGAAAGACAAAAAGAGATGGAGACAAAGGAAGAGACAGAGAGAAAACACATCAGCTATTGTTTAGGCACTTTCTGACATGACACATAGACAGACATAGACAGATTTCACTGTGTTAAATTTGAATTACTAATGTCTCTGGAGGCAACTGAACCGAACAGAAAGACCAGGGGGTCAGGAGGAGCGGCTGAGTCAGTTCCCCCCCTCCAACCTTAATCTGGCTTCTTTTCATAGCCTTTTTTCCTCTGACACTCTACTAGAAATACTAAAAGAGGAAGAATTAAGGGAGGGAAAAGAGGAAGGAAGTAAAAGTAGAGAAGCTCAGCAGGCGGGTGAGGCAAGGGATACGAAGCAGAGGTGAAGGTAGAATGAGGAGAAAAAAGTAAGAAACTGTGATGCTCCAAGTGGGAGGCAGCAAGACATGAAAGGAAAAGGGAAAGGAGGAGGAGGAGGAGATTGGGTCTGAATGAGAGATAAGATGGAGGGGAAAAAGAGGAAGGAGAAGAGATGAGAGAAGAGAGAAGAGGGAGCGGGCTGGGCTCTGGGGCGATGGGGCTCTCTCAGATGCAGGATGGGACCATCTGGACGAAAGTGGAGCCAGGTCTCTGACAGTAAACACTGGGCATCACTTTCACATGGAAAAAGACCAGGAAAAGAGATTCAAACACCCGTCCACACTTTCTTACCACCATCAACCCACTATGCTCCACCCAGTAACTAACTCTGCCAACCATTCTTCACACATGTTGGTGAAAAATACTGCCACTCCCCTCAATATTGGCAATTTCATCACTACCGCACAAAACACCCCACTTCCAGACTGCCTTTTTTCTCGAATAACACTCCTTTGCAGTATTTTTTTCTTTCAGAATTGATTCTAAAAAACACTGCTGCCTGTCTATATATCACATCTGACTTTCTCTGAGAAAATAAACTCTGTGTGCCCCTCAGGTCACCTTGGGCCATTCCTCCAAATGTTTCCAGAGTTTTAAAAAAATGGTTGCTGTTATGTTGATGAAAACTTCCAATGTCTCCATCTTCCATTTATCAAATTTTCATATATAGCACTTTTTCTCTCTAAAATGTGCTATATAAATTTCCGCCGTCCTGCTTGTTCATCAGCGGAGCTGGCTAATTACAGCAGCAACAGATATTTACAGGGGAGGAAGTGGCCACTGAGGACTTGAACCAGCAACCCCATCTCTTTCCTTTCAGGAGAGTGGATGAAACCAAACACACACACACACACACACACAATATGTATACGATATCACGCGCACACACTCAATTCTACCCCCTCCCTCATGGCTCTGGAGAAGCAGAACTGCCCCTCCTACCCCTCTGTCGATAAGCCCGGTTTGGAAACACTTTAAACAGACTTGCACACTGCACCGCTACAAAAAGGGAAAACTTCAAGACATGCTCCCCTCCATACCCGCAGGGTTAATTAGAATTGTTTTAAACAGCCACTGCCATGCTTTTTAAACATTTATGGGGTGCATGCATTACAAGTAAGGCATTAACATATCCGGAAAGTTTAACCTCTTCTCTGCTCCCTGGCTCCATTACGAGTAGCAGAGGGGAACGAGAGAGAGGACAGTTGACCTCTGCTGCCCCCTGTGTTACAGCTGAAAAACAACAAGGGAATTTTCAATGAGGAGCAGCAGCCAGATTTGGATCAGAGGAATCGGAGCCAAGCCACCATGCAGGATGAATGACAATCAGCTTGTATGTTAGTGATGAAAGAGAGAAACCCAGAGAGTATGTAGTACCAATAAAAACATACATTATTAACTAAGAGGGACATAGAATAAGTAGTAGTGACAAAAAAACAACTCAGTGAAATAAGAGTTGTGATCACTTGTGGGCAAAACCACCAAAACACAGGAAATGTAGGTATTTCAGCAAAATTGAATAATTATAGGTTGGACTTAATAAAAATGATATATTCTGGGTTCATCCAAATAGCTCAACTAATAGAAACACAGCTCAGAATATGATGTCAATGTTGAAATATCCCATTTCATGAACAATCATTTTGATAAGGATTTTCATTTTTGGAGGTGCAGCCTGTACTGTGAATGCTTAAAAATGAAGACACAGTGAAATTAGTTCAACAAACAACATGAGTTTTAATGAACAGTTCCACCTCTTACCTCACAGAAAAGAGTTAGTTTGTCATCAGGCAGCAGACCGTTGGCCTCATCCAACAGGAAGTCCCTCCTTATGAACTTCTTGAAACCCCAGTCCTTCCCCTGGACAAAGCGATACGCCCTCTGGCTCTCTGGAAAAGAAGACACACGGACAAACAAGGAGAAACAAGATTACTTGAAGACTTTCACAACGTGATTAAGCTCTGCGTGTGTGAATGTGTGTGCGAAAGAGAAAGTTTGTTATGAGTCATGGCCATAAGCAGCGGAGAAACAATGGCAAAAGAGGCTGGATGCAGGAAGTAATGCCTGCAGGGAGCTTTTAACACTTCAGAAGAAAACAGAATCTCTCTCTCTCTCCCCCGTTTCACTCTCTCTATCCTCTCGCTGCCACATAAAGACTAGTGGTAAACATGAGACAGAACTGCTGTGCCTCTTTGGCCAAGAAGTGAGAAATTGCAGGGATCAAAGCAGTCCAATTATCATGTGTTTATGGAGTGCCAATTATCTCTAACAGTGGCAGGAAGGATTCTGTAACACTCAGTTGCACTACAAAGACACAGGAAAGGTGGTGGAGTTCTTGTGTGTACAACAGGCACACTGTGGAGGCGGTCACAGCTATCTACAGTCACCTAACAGTCACAAATACTCACATACAAGGTCAAAACATTAATGGCTTTGAACTGCGGCAGCTACAGAGATCACAGCAAATTAAAGCTAATTGCAGATAGAATAAGGCCAGCCGCTAACACATAAATTTTGCAAGTAACTGAAGCTCTGTTGGAAGAATAAGACACCATTCTTTGGAGAAATTACATCATTCACCATTTTGCTAATGAGAAGAAAATGCTTCCTTGAGCACTGTTCTGGGATTACTGAGCTTAAGCGACAGACCCTTTTTGTGCATGAAGCCATCACTGTCCATTCCTGTAAGCGCAGACATAACTATATGACATGATACGGTAATAAATTAAGGTTTTATAGCTGGTTTTTTTGCGCGCCTGTAAAGGATTAGATGACGCTACAGGAAAAAGCTCCACAAGCTACAATGAGAGTCAATAGAAATCAGTTTATTTGCCAAGTCCTTGTCATTTCTTCCCCATTAAGATCTTTCCAAGGATGCTCTGTAAGACACAATAAAAATGTAATCATCCATGCTTGAATTGTGCTGGCACTAAGCAGAAACAAGAAGAAAATTTAGTAAGGACACACGGATAAACAAATTGGCAAATTACCAGATGAAATTGTGCAATGCTTGGTCATACTGACAAGAGTATAAAAGCAACGTGTCCCCAGTCTCATTATAGTATATTAGAGCCACGCAGTTTTTAGGCAGTAGCAGTGAGAATTATTTCTTTTAATAAATCATAAACTTTTTTTTACGTCTTCTATTAATATTTGTTATGACAACCCATTTTGCCTTCAAATTGCCAGCAATTCTCCTGGGTACACTTGTGCATAATTTTTCAAGATAATTGGCATATAGTTTGTTCAAAGTATCTTCTGTGCATTCAGATTGTTTCAGTGACTTCTTCCTCTTCATGTAACCCAGACTCACTCCACAATACTGAGATGAAGGCTCGGTGGAGTCTCTGTGGAGACTATTACAGGAATCCTTTTCTTTTTTCGTGTCACTGAAGATAGTTCTTTATGACTCTGGCTACGGAGATGTACTTGTTATCATGCAACAGAACCAACACAGGACAGCCAGAACGCTCCCTGATGGTATTGGATGAAATACCACCAGGTATTGCAAAGTGCAAGAGTGTTTTACATGAACCTAAATAGACACATAGATTGTATAATCCCCCAAATTGCTTTGATAGATGTTAGTTTTGCACCGTTTTCCAAACACAGTCAGAGTATGTTCAGTTCATTATGACCCAATCTGCCAAGAGCTGCACATTGTCACAAACTAACAAGATATTTAGCTGGGGGTAGTTTTTAACAGGACAGGTGCAGCTTGTTAATTGTAAAACGCATAGAAATGTAGGTCATACACATCTATGTTAATTGTAGGCCTACAGTTGCAGTCTGGTAGAGAGTTGTTATAATGCACACAGGATTCAGGAACTGACAGGCAGGACTGTAAACCAGCCGACAATAGTTCAACATTGAATTCTTTCGCATTCTTCTAAAAAAAATTAATTACATCACTTTAAACTGGAAATGCCTGACTGACAAACATTTATTTCTATACAAGTGTAAAAAAAATTTCCACTGGATTTGTTTAGTATGGTCGACCACTCAAACAGCCATGTGCTAGAGCACAGCTTATGGGAACATGGTGAAAAATGTATGCACTGTCCATGATCCTGAAATTGGTTCATTTAATACAGTGGTCCCTCGCTATAACGCGGTTCACCTTTTGAGGTCTCGAGAATTTCTTTTTTTTTTGTGCAATTTTGCGTTGTGTTCTGCCTCCTGATTGGCTGTAGACCATCGTCACTCGATCTCCTCCGTGCCGTGTCTCCTGTACAGTACAGAATGCGTTCAGCTTGTCAAATTTACATAAATCCTTGATCGCTAGCAGTGTGACTCTGAAAAGTGTTGTACTGTATGTTGGTAAGTTTTCTCCCCAACAAACACAACAATGCCGATGAAACATTTTGCAACGTCAAAGGCACCTGTGGTAGCATCTAAAAGGCAGAGGAAGATGCTAACCATCGCACAAAAAGTTGGACTTTACCTTATTTTTCAGACCATAAGGCACACTGCATTATAAGGCGCATTAAGCAAAACAAAACAGTCAGATAAGTAAATTTTTTCTCAACTCATTCCTCATCGATGTTGGATTCTCTCGCAGCTGCTCAATTTCCCATGTTCTGGACCTGAAAACAGGGTTTGATCTTTGGTTTCATTCTATAATACTGGACTTTCTACAACGGTTTGAACTTTGAGAGTGTTTAAACAGGAGAGAAAGTGTGAAAAGGTTCATGCCTGTCTGAGAAAAGTGTATAAAGTGTGTTGTGATGAGTTTTATAGCCTTAAAATATCTATAATAATTGTAAAAGAAATAAAGCTGGCTACTTCGCAGATTTCACCCGTCACGGGTTATTTTTGGAACTCCCGCACTAAATGAGGGACCGCTGTATTTTGCTTCAAACTTTCGGACCAGTTCAAAACATCAATATGAAACATGGGTCACTATAAAAACTTCCCATGCTTGACATCCATCCAAGGCCTTATTATTTGCAGGATCGAGTCCAAAGTCAACATTGTCATCCCTCTGTTCTCCTCATTCTTCAGCCACTTTGAACCCATCTTTATCAGTGGTAGGAAACCACCACTACTAACCAGGATCTACCCTCAAGCTTTTGCTCTTTCAGGCATGCTCTGACACAGCTGGTTGACAATAAAAACCTGACCCTAGCCAAAGTCGTAAAGCTTTTTATACCAACAATGAGAACCATCAGCATCTATTGTCCAGACCTGGCCATCCATTTTCATTAACTTATCTGCGAAGAGGTCACAGGGGCAGCAGACTAAGCAAGAACGCCCAGACCATCCACCTCCTCCAGCTTGTCTGAGGGGACACTGAGGTGTACCCAGGCAAGCCAAGAGACACAATCTCCAGTGTGCCGTGGGTCTGCCCCGGGGCCTCCTTCCAGTGACCTGGACATATTGCATACAATGTTGATTTTTAAGAAAAACAGAGTCAGAAAATAGTGAACAGAATCCACCTATGCTTGAGTTCTTACAAAACAACTTCACAAATGTTTTTAATCTCAATCCAACTAATTTATTCAGTACTTTAAAAGGGTTCAGGTCATCACTGACATTTCAGACTTCTGTTGAACTTCCAGGCATATTACATCCACTTAAAGTCAACATTAAATTTAACTTTTAATGCAGATGACGAAATGTGCTAAAAATAACCACTGTATCACTGAGACCTGGTAAAACAGCACAGTGAAAGTCTCGTGTTGATTCCAGCTGACTATATACACAATTGGTTTTTTAGGCGTGGGTTGCAGCCCTAAACAATTCCAAATATTAGTCGAGCTGCATGTAAAATCAACTGTTCAAATCTGTTTTTTCCCTCACAACTGCCCACTGCAAAGTATGTTTGATGTCCGGTCGAGCCATGAGTAGGTATCATCATCCTGTATTCTGCATCCACAGTCAGAATCTCTTTTGCTGATGTTAAAAAGCCTAATTCCAGCTTCATGTCCAGCCAGACTCTCCCAACAATGTCCAGAGGTAAATGTGAAAAAGGCTACAGCCACCCCATAAAAGATCATGTCTAAGGCTCATACATCTGCAGGGTGTGTAAACTTAATGTGTATACTCTTGCCACTTCAAACAGACTCCTCTCTAGCCTACTCTTGCATAGAAACCCCAATAGGAGATCTGCTGACAGTTCACAGCAGGAAGCACTAGGATGAAGTGTCAATGCTACTGTAAGATCCTGTGTCTAATCCCCTGTTTGGATCTGAGAGAGCAGGCAGCCAAAGAGGGGATTGGCGGGGGAGTGCAGTGCATATGCAGTTATTCCCACCACTGCTCATGCAGGGGGTCCTTCACTGTAATCCTCTGCCTCTGGAGGCTGTGTACGCAAAAGAAGCTGACAGGAATCCACATGCAAACCGATACACAAATAAGCTTGACTGAAAGTCAATTCACAAAATGTATTTATGCACTTTACAAAGCTACTTTATTCATTGTTCTCCCAGCTGAACAGTTACTCTAAAATCGACTGAGGGTTTTTTTTTAAGCCAACGGTATCTCCAGTAAAGTCTAGCAGGTTTGAAAACTGTGTCAAACTTTTGCTACACTGTACCTTTTGTGGCTGGGCTGAGACAAAGAATTAAACTCAATGCAGGTATCTTTCACAGGCTCTCAGTAAAATCTTCTTTCTTTAGTGACTTTCACCCACTCTTATGTCCTTTAAACATGTCTGATGGCTCTAGCATGTGTGACCCAGATGAAGCCCCAAAGCACAGAAGCTACTTGTGAAGTTGTGTTATTTGGGTAAGTAACAAGACCAGTGACGAGTGAATAGTTCCCCAGTGGCAGTATCTAAAGCTAATCTAGGGGGTGAGGAGAAAGGCTGGCAGCAGGAAGAGATGGGGGGGGGAGGAAGAAGTGAAGAGAGGTGAGAGGGAATGCTGGAAAGAAGCCCCAGCAGACTCAGTGAAAAGAGAGAGAGAAGTGTGATTTCTTCAGTGTTCAGCTGTGACAGTGAGATGACTGTGGGTGCATGTGTGGATGCGTGCATGCATACAGGCACCAATGATGACGGCTTTGTGTGTGCTGAGCTCAGCTAATGCCATGCTATCATCTCCACTGGGGCATCAGAACACTGCACTGGCAGAGAATCAACTGCAGGTCAGATCGCTGGCGCTCACTCTTTCAGTGAGCTGGCCAAGGTGGTGGGAGTGCAGCCACTCTGCCAGAATACCAAAAAGAGCAGGGCAGCGGTGGAGAGAGGGGGGTAGGTAGGTGCAGCTGAGAGATCCGTACACATTTAGTGGAGCTACACATACCTCTTAATGTTCGGGGAAATTATAATGAACTTGTATGAAAAAACAAAAAAACAAAAACACACTTATAACAAGTATGAATCAGCGACAAGTGGAAATAATTGTCAAGTTTTTAACAACGTCGCAGTTGCACTTCGATATTTCACTACCACTGAAATTTCTCACCCTGCCAAAAGAGAATCTAAGGTGATGCTGAAGGTGAGAAAAATGATGTCTAAACTGGCGACAGCGAGAGAAAGACTAAAGGGGAAGCCAAGCCAGAGTATTTAGCTGTGCAGGACATCCATATTCAGGCAGAAAACTCAAGGGTACGATTGGCACACAGAAAGAGAAGGTCGCCAGAAGACAAGCTGGCATGTAGAAAAATAGCAGCTGACAGAGCAGCCAGAGTCAACATCTCTCTTGGTGTCTGTCACTTTTCTGGACTTACTTTTTACCACTCAATTTTAGCAAAATCCCACTAACCACAACTTATAATTAACAACAGACTATACTGATCCATTGTTCATGCATTGACTGTTCAAGGACAATTAGTCTAGTCTTCAGTTAGCAGTAATGGGCATTCTACTAGCTAGAAAAATCGAATGTAAAACGTTGCTCCCATTTACACACTGATTCAAACTGGCTGGCATAAAGAGATATAAACGTGACAGCTGTTCACACAAGAAAATCTAACCTCTACTAAAGATCGAGCTCTATAAGCTAATGTCAGCACAAACTTGTCTATTGACATTCTTGCTAGCAATGTCAATACAACCTGATTATATAAAGACTGACCAATAACTTCTACTCTATTACACAGTGCTCCACTCCCCCCCACACAGAATGCCTGATCGCCTCTATCAGTCACTGAGGGCAACAGACTCTGACAAGTTCACATCCACAGCTTCAGTTAAATGAAGCCAACATTTCTCATTCTTAAATTACAATATAAAGCAGACCACAGCCAACACACATGAGCTCACTTAGCCTTTGGCTACAACACAACAAAACCATTGTCTGTAGGGGAGATTTAACATGGAGACCATTTGAATACAAAACAGCTTGCGGCAATGGTTGAGAACTTTCCATCTCTCCTCTCTGAGCTGTCAGAACAGGAGTCTGCAGGGGGGCAGCTGTTTTCTCTGGCAAAAGGAGAGGGGGGGAGGAAGGAGTGTGTGTGTGTTGGGGAGAGGGGGGTGGGGTCAAAAGACAACTTACAATCCACCCAGTAGCCTCAGAGGGGAGAACCAGCACATTAAGCAAGAGAGAGAAATGATGTGGCCAAGTCTGGTGTAGGAAAGGAGGGGGGAGGGGGTGTCTGCGGCTGATGTTTGAATCCATCTCCATTATTAAGTACAGCCCATCAGAGGATCCACAGACAAACACCCTCTCTAGTGAGAAGCTGAAGGGCTGACTGATGCAGATCGGGTGTTTCATTAGATAATGTCAAGCAAATCCGTCATAGTATATCCTACACCTCCTCTTATGTACTGCAGGAATATTCATATTTTCCATATAAACAAACCCAAAACATGGGAATGAATACATCTGTAAAAATGGAAAATCTAATTATGTCTTTACTTCTCCAGTAAGCTAAAAATATATATAAATGGAAGCAAAGTTAAGATACTGGAGTTACTCTACTTTAAGTTCTCACTAGTTTTTCTAACCATTTCTTCCTTCTATTCAACTATCCACATTAAAAGAAATATAACCCAATAACTATTATATTAAATATGGTCCCTACAGGAACACAGTATAGAGGCAGACAAATCACTGTCCTGCCACAAACAGTCCACAGCCGCTCAGCTTTCTTAATTAAGCCAATTTGTTTTTATTTGACTTTTTTTTTTTTCCTAGAGGCCTGGATTAAATTGGATTCTAAATGATCCAGAACCAATAGAGCAATCTTTACTACCATATTCTTAGACACAGTGCTTGCTAAAGTGTCACAAATATGCTGGCAGTTGGGTAATTTTCTCCATTGACAATGCAAGTGCAGTGGAGAGCCCAGGTTTCCCCAGGGGGAATGTGGGAAGATTGTAGGAGGGCATATGGCAAGAATGGGATGGGGTGTGCACCATGGAGCATACCATTTATTACAGAAAGCCCCTTGAGACAAAAAGAGAGCAAGAGAGTCAGAAAAAGAAGATTCTTTTTTACTTCACTTGGCATTCCCAAAATTCAGGTTTTCTCTGGCGATTTAAGGGAGCAATATTACCAAAATTGTAAGGCCTTGAAATTATACATTTCCACAGTCTAATTATTACTTCTACCAAAGAAAAATCCTCCATGCAAAACTAAACTATAGATCACAAAATACCTAATATCCAGTATAAGCACTACAAGAGAAACTCTTCTTCAGTCGGCCACTCAGAATTAAGATTTAGTTTTCATATAGTGATGGAATTAAAAAGGATAAAAGAGAAAGAAAACGAATTTGTGAGTGAGAAAAATGGCAAAGGTCTAAGTGAGCAAATGAGGTACCTAAGTTCACATGGGGGGATGTTTCTCAGCAGGAAAAATGATTTCCCTTTCTACACAACCTGCACCGCAGGGTGTTGTACACAACTTCACTGCATATGCCTCTCATTCAAACACATTTCCGCCTCCCACCTCTTCTCGTCTCTCTACCTCCCTCCCTCCCTACCCACCCACCCACCCACCCCGTCTTCCCTCCTCCATGCTTCCTGTACAGTGAGCTGCAGGGTACTGGGAGAGAGGGAGGCAGCCAAAAAGCCTGATAACCAGGAAGCGGTCACATCTGGCCCTCACTAATTCAATTCCACACAAGTTTGCTTTTCCTCCCCATAACATAACCTAATTAAAAATAAAAAAAAGGAATTGGAGGTGCATTCACTTCCAATTTATCAACAGGGAGTGAGGCTGTCGAAGACTTCTAAAAAGGTTGGGTCTTTTTTAATTAAAATCAAAATTGCCCCACGCTACTTTGAATTATATATTTACCAGAAATGAATCCAACCGGCAGTGATTACACAAGCCCATATGGCTATCAATACCTTACGTTATTAGACACACTTGGGGTATTAGACACACTCTCCACCTTCTACATTACAAATTTCAGTGCCCCAAAGACACAGGTGTGACAAGAGTTTTTCATTTTGAAACTCTTAAACTTTGAGATATCCCTGGCTTTGTGCTGAATATAAAGTCTATGTGGGCAGCTTAGGTTTCAGTAATGAATTTGAATATATTTTTCAGTGTCAATTAGAACAAGTTAGGATTTCAGAAAATAAAACTGTGGACTTCCATGTATTTTTAAATGCTTGTTAGTCTTAACTTCTTGTGCCGGTGAGGGGGGGGGGTCATGTGTTTATTATCATGTCAAAGCTCCTCATATAAAACATAATGTTACCATCTTGATCACCTGTATTATAAATAGGTTTTCTTTCATCAGTGTGTGCAATGAACTTGCAATCTTGTTGCTTTTCAAATAGTTGCTTCGAGGACAGGGTGTAAGATCCACATGCAGACAGTTGGTGTCTTTAAAATAATTTGACTGTGTCAGTCTGAGTCAGACTGTGACTGTTTGGAGACAGGTTTTCTTCTACAAAGTGATCTGTGCAATCACCTTGTGACCAAAAGGAGTCACCTAAAACTTGAGGATGTTGCACACTCAATCTCTGGTAAGCCAACAGGTCGTCACGCCTACTTGAAATCAGTCACCAAATTTGAAAACATTCACAAATCAACGATTTTTTTTTCCAGTCCAAGGAGGTTTTCCTATTTTGACTGAGCCATAAGGCTATATAAATAAAACTGACTGCCACTCTTTAGGGCCTGGTGATTCTGACTTACCCATGGCTTTGGTCTCCTCTCCCTTGGCATTGAGGATAGAAAACTTAAACTTGGCACGCACTTCACTTTTTGGGCAGCTAACCAAGAGGAGGTAAAGTGATAAATAGTCTTTGCTCTCCTCATCCAGACCTTTAGGATTCACACGCAAACACCTAGGGGAAAGAAAGGGAAGAAACACACTAGTGAGACCAAAAAAAGAAGAAGAAAAAAAGGACAAAGGGGGAGTATCAGTTCCTGGAAGTATCTGTAATATTTGTAAGTGACAATCTGATTATTCTTAGATGAAAAGTATTGGAAATTATTGACAATGATTTTTACTTTTCATCTGATATGTACTTTAAACGGTCACTTCTATGCTCCACTTCAGCTTTTAAATGTGTTTTATAATGGCACAAAAACGTCTTCCTCATCAAACACAATCAATTACTTAATCGAATTATGTTTTAGCCAGTATGAAGCAATTTCTCTTGATTTCACAAATTCTCAAACAAGTTATTAAAAATCGAATAATGTCCTTATTCACAAAGCAACATTTAATTGAAGCTTTAGACTACATCAAAGCACAGAAACCACAGCAGTTAAGGCTACTAAAGATCTGCTTAGCAGCAGTCTCAGACTACTCTTCATGTCCAAAGCTATTGTCACCAAAACCCTCCAGTATCAAAGGAAATGATGCTCAAAAGTAAACCTATAATCTGTCTGGTGCACTATTATGTTACTCTGACAATAAGCCAGACAGACTCACACTTGTAACATGGTTTCAGGGACAGTGAGACAATACCACTGTGAGGTAACCCACTGCTGTGCCATGGTTGGTTAATGATCCCATACACTTAAACAAAGCCACAACAGCAATAACGCAGTATTATAACTCATAAGGATCAGGATCCGTCACAATTTGCAGGTTATTGCAGGTAAAATGCCAAGCACAGTTTGGATGAAGACCTGTTAGGTGATCACTGTGTCTATGTTTGATTCGATTCTGACCAGGAGGAGTAGCGATTCTTGTGACATGTGGCTGTATGGGAAGACTGACAAATCTCCAGAGGCGCTGTCACGGCATAAATTCATCAGATAAGCTAAAAACATATTTTGACATTATGACACTTGTGAATAAATAAAATACATAGGATTTAATATATTTCCTAGTCACTAATTAACCACGGTATGCATTAAAGTGGAAGATATAGCCATTAAAAGGGTATTTTTTTTAACAAAGTAGGAAGCAAAACCAATATAAAGTTTCACTGTACTCACAAAAACCCAATAAACAACACCTGATTCTAATACTCCCAATCTCCCCTCAAAGTCTTCTTCGCTTCCAGCGAAGCTACTTTTATTACAATGCACCTGAAAAGTCATGTTCCAACACCTCACACGCGTACATCAGGAGTTCCACCTTTGATCTCAAACTTGTGCAGACTTCTGTGTCAAGCTAACCCAACCTTTATGTCAAGGATTGTCACTACTAATATGAGCCATTTTCAGTAGAAGTACACAGTGTCCATGGTGAGATCCGTGATCAGCAGTAAGCTCTTTGGGGTATTTTCGTTTTTTGTTAGTTTTTTTTGTTTGTTTTGGGGGGTTTCCCTTCCCCCCCGTGCTTTTGGGTGGTTTGGGGTTTTTGTTTTTTGGGGGTTTTTTTTAGGGGGACATTTAACCCAAGATCAGACCGACTGTTGAGGGCTTCAGCAGTAATTGAATAAGGAGCCTGAGGGAGAGCATTCAGTGCAAACTCATGACCTGTGGTGCGTGTCAATTGTACACCAATGCACACAAACTGAACTTTGGCCACAAGCACAGTCATCACTCATCACCCGCCATACTTGTCAGATCTCGATCCTTTCGATTCTCCTCTTCCACAAAAACAAATGCAAGTTGAAGATCTAGAATCCTTCACAGACGTGAAATTGGTCTGAACAGCAAGAGCATCCTCGAAAAAGTAGTGTTATAGGCGCTGCCGAATTTCACAAGCAGACTGGAATCGGCCAAATTGAAATGAGGGTATATCCAGCAGAGTTTTATAGTCAGTAGTGGTACAACGTAGTTGAGCAAAGAGCAAAGAGTCTGAGCTTTCCTAATATTTCAATATGAAACCGCAATAACTATAAAAAAAACATCAGAAATCTAAAATAAATCACAGGAAAAAAGGGTCCTCAGCAATGCAACAGAAACCAGTTTCACAAAAGAATCATAGCTTTGTGTTTGCAACATATGGATTGTTTGTTGCACAGCCTGTTACAGTTTAAGTAGCATCAAACACTTTACCATGGACATATGGACTGTTAAGCATCTGGAAACTGTAATTCTGGAAATTATTTAAGACAATAATATTTTACGACATTATATGAATTACTGTAATAATCTTGGCATCACGTCATAGTCAGCTGCCAAGTAAGTCTTACATTTTTCAAGCTAAATAACCTCTACTTAAAAAGTATTATAAGGTAAAGGAAAATGAACTGAAAATTTGATTTTTAGTTATGGTAATATACTACAGAATAGCCATTTCATACATTTTCATTGTTTTGTTCTATAATGTAGCGAACCTGGCCTGAATTCTTAACAAGTTCTTATTAATTCATTTATGTTTGTCTCTAGTTTTTATTGTACAACTTGGGGGGCTGATCTGCAGTGCAGTGCACTGGAAAAAGATGCAACTGAAAAAGAGTTATGCTACAGATGGTTAAAATAAAAATAAATAAATAACAGAATCGTTCACCCGGAAACAAAAGACTAATTAAGTCATCATTCTTTAACATGACACAGTTTGCATCCAATTTAAACAAGCAACTTACATAACTTACATATGACTACTGCATTGTTTTATCCCAGGACATAATCATTACCTTCATCTCCCTAAAATATCTTTGGCCACTACATAAATGCATGAGATTTTAAATGAGTGACCCTGACTTATGTGGAAATGAAATCACTGGCATGTCATACTTAACACAAATCTTTGATGTGGATCCAAAAAGTACTCATCAGTTCAGCCATCTACGGAAGTCAAAGCATGACAGCCCAGTAGCTGTTCACTTAGCCAGTTTGTACAGCTGCACTCTCGGCAATTAGGTACATTTCCAACACCGGATGGAATAAGTCTGTCAAGTCATTTCAGGGCAAACTAGTACAAAATCAAATCATATTACTGCCTTCAAAAATTTAGTTTTGACAAGGATGAATAAGCACTGTAGCACCTTAAACATAACAGTTTTTTCTTTGAACATTTTTTGCCACACTTTGCAGGAATCAAACAAAGTCCAAAGCTACGATCTGGAAAATTCAGCATACATTTATCCATTTTCCACTGGTCAGACTGTGAATATTAGCGGACGAAGAATTATAGAGCAATTTTCTGTGTACCTAGCCACATCCTCCACATCCCTCAGTTCTTCCTGGGGAGTTGCCAAGATGTTTCAAGGAAAGATGGGAGGTGTGAGCTGCTCATACTCAACCTATAATTTTAAACACGACAAGCAGGAGGGTGCTCATCTCAAAGTCCCCTCATCTCAGAGTAAAGTAATCCAATTTAAATGTGGGTTTAACCTCAGATCAATTCATGCATACTAACGTGTCATGCAAGAAGGTTAATTTTAATTTCAAAACATATGCTAATAAACACTGCAAACACAGACACGTTAAAAGGCACAGAGCAATGATTGATACGCCACGTGTAGAAGCACGTAGATCACGTAGTTCTACCTTTCAAAGGTGCGAAAGTTGAAAATCCTTAAGAAGACTTCTTGAAAGGACATTCTCCAAAAGCACTCTTAGAGCAGGAATGCTGTACTTTATATGTGATAGCTAGAATGATGAGACTTTACTAACCATTTGAGTTTGTCATTGGCTCCTGAGGAAAAAGTGGAGCTTTTGATGACCTCTCCCATCTCCTCACGACAGAAGCTGAAGTTGTTGATGGTCCACATGTAGGAGAACTTCACCACTTTGATCTGCATAGAAAAAGCACAGGATCGGCTGAAACCAGATCTCCTTTTTTTATATATTTATCTTTTCTATATGGGTAAGTGGTCTTTGGTCAGCCAGGACTTCAAAACCGCACATCAAAACTGCCTTTCATCTTAATAAACACTGACAACAAACGAAGGGAAAGAAGAAAGGATAATGGAAAAGTAGCCACGGAAAAAAACAAACAAAAAAAAAACAAAACAATTTTGCAAGGACGTAGCAGAGATGAAAAAACAGACATCATCAATGACATACTTTATCTAGCTTTGCTCTTATCAGGAAAGTGTTATCTGAGCTAGTAAAGCCTACACTGCAATAACTATAACAAATACAATTTCATAGAGCAGATAACCATTAAACAAAGAAAACATGTAAAATGACATCAATTTTTATTTAAAAAAGAAAAAAAATTTGGCTGGTAATGTAGAAGCTATCAGGAAAAAAAGCATATCAGCAAGCTAGATTTAATATTGCACAAATACCAAAAAAGTTTAAAAAAAAGATTCACCATTAAAGATTAGCAAAAGCTGCACCAGGCTGATTAAAGCAAAAGATACATATTGTGTAACACTGTTCAAGAACACCTTCATGGCTGAATTACTCCTCCAATTTAACACCGCACCTTGTAAGTTTAGAGAACTTTTTTTAACATTCAAAATTGATGCAGCAGAAACAGCGATATCGCCACCTTGTTAAAACACAGAACCTAGTTCACCCGCAATATAGCTCAACGTCTGACAGTTTATCTAGTAATCTGGGTGTAAATTATAGTAGTAACTGCTAATATAGCCTTGAGCCTCTAGCGTCGAGCAGAAATAAGAAGCAGGCAACAAAAATCTCTTACCAACAAACCAACAATGTTTGAAGAAGCTTGAAGCAATTTGTCAGACTGTGCTTAGCCAAGATTGTAAAAGCAAAGATTGTACTTTATAAATGATGAAGATAATTTTTCTTGCATGAATCAAACTGACATTTGATAATCTACGGGCAGAAAAAAAAGAGCATCTCAACCTCCTGACTGCATGAAAGCATCCAACAAAAGGGACTGATTACCAAGTAATTACCAAATTACTAAATTCAGAGTTCTTCTGGGGTAGAATCAGATTATTTTGCTAAATCCAGCCAGGTACTGCATATGGTACTGTGCAAAAGTCTTGAGTCGGGCCTCATTTTGTTATATTTTGCCTCCAAGGAACCAAACGTTCTTGTAATTTTTAAAGTGGTCTTGAGCAGTAGTTCTCCTGGCTGGTTAATCATAGTTTCATTTAAAAATTAGCTGCTTTTTAACTTATTTTCAGACCAGAAAATATGAACATTTTCACCAGCATTTATTTTTTGGGTTTGTTTGTTTAGTAAGTCACTTAACTTGACTCATTCAAGCATAAAAAAGGAACTTAACAAAAGGGATAAAGCAGTGTTGTATCTACACATAACAGGAAAAAATGGCAACAAAAGGTTTTTAAAGGTGCTCTGTAGCAAACAGTCAGGAAAGTTAAACCTGTAAAAAAAAAAATGCAGCAAAAACAAAACAAAACATTGTTTTACAGGCATAATATAATGTTTTTGCAACACCAAGGTGATTCCCAAAGAGCTACTGGCCATAAAAGTGGCCGGTCTAAAAATCACTTGCAGCCACTAGTGCTAACCCTCAGCCTCCTAGTGGAAACACCTATGGTATCAATTTCAAAAGTGACTGCATTCAGAATTTGCCCTGTGACCTTAAGATAAAGGTCACCGGGATTCAAACCTGTCTGAGAATTTTAGCAGATACACCTATTGGTACCAAAACTCCTATGCTACCTCGTTATGTTATCATATAAAATAAAAAATAAAAATAAAAAATAAAAAAAGCTGCTTGTCCACGTTGCCTGCCCGTCTAGTGGGGATATAATAACAACAATAACTAAAAGTCATGTTATTCAGCAAACACCAGACACAGGACCTGAGAAATGTATTTGGTCCATCAGTTGATTGATCTACTGTTTGCTGAACCCTTATCAGAAACTGTCTCAGTGCAAATGTGGCTGTCAGAAAGCCATTTTTAAGGAAGCGAAATGAGAAGAAAAAGCTGAGGTTTGCCAAATTACACAAGAACTGGGCTGAAAATCAGTAGCAAAAGGTCTTAATGAGTGCTAAATCCAAATTTCTAATTTTTATATCAAATCATTTTCAAAATGTATTAAAGAAGTCAGAGGAGAGGTACAACACAACAACACAGAGGTTCTGTCGTCCTTTGGTGCTGCATTTCAGCCAGTGATCTCGTCAGAAACGATGGAATAATGAAAAAAGAAAATATTGTCAGATTTTGATTCATCATGCAATACCATCTGGAAACTGTCTGATTGGCAACAGCTTCATTTTTCAGCATAACAATGATTCCAAAAACACTGCCAATGCAAAAAAAAAAAAAAAAAAAAAAAAAAGCACCTGGATGGAAGAACACACAATGGAACACAAAACTATCAGGCATGGATTCACATCCCCAGAGACTGGACTTCAAAATTATCTAAACAGTTTGGGATCATCTGGAAAGTGAACAAAAGGCAGATGACATCCAAAGAAGATGTCTGGAATTTCCTGAAGAACTATTCCTTATAACTACTTAAAGACATTACGAGGAAGCTTGCCGAAGTGAGTTCGGGCTGGTTAAAGACAAAATCTTATAAATCCTCTAACATCTTTAAAGACCACAAATTAAATAACCTCAGCATTTACAAGGGGTGAAATTAAAATTATGGTTACAAAAGTAGTCCAGTAAAATATACCCCATTTCTTATTTCTCAGTTTGTACGTCTTCATTTCCTTTTCTCGCATTTTACCAGAGTATCAAATGAAGAAGGTGATAAAGAGATATGAGGAGAGAAGAGCTGAGGCAACAGGCGTTGAACAAAATTTTAAAAAATCACTGCTTCAGAGCCTCATTTAAAATTGATTTCTAGCGAAAACAACTATTGCCACAGGTGTGTCATAAATTGCTTTGTTATATCCCAACTACAGCTGTATTTGTTTCATCTCAGATGGTCAATGGTTTTGCAAATCAGCAAAATATTATTTATTAAGTCTACTTTTTAATTAAATTAAAAACGTGGTGCAATGTGACCAGATATAGTTCTTTTTTTAAAATCACACACACAGAGATCATTTTCACTTCACATGCATTTTAGGAATCGAGACATCCTTCAGCATTGTGTGCTGAGATTAATTTCCTGGCAAAAGGACAAGAGACACAGGAGACTGGTTAATGGCACTGGTTAGTGGTTACCGACTTAAGTAATGCCTGACAATCTAACTATAATATTTTAAGATGCATTCTGGCCTGATTACGGTTCAGTTTAGTAAAACACAAGGAAGTGAAGCACAAAATATAAAAAGTCATGCATTACTCACCTGAGTATAACACCAGCTCTCAGCCACAGGACTGCTGGACATTTCTGCCGATGGTGGGGGACTTGGTACTCTGGACATTGCCAGCATTGATGCTGAGAGCACCGAGTTGGGCAGTGGCAGCAGCCAGATGTGGGATGAGGTGGTATGAGGTGTATGAGGTAGGAAAGGTCCAATAATCAGTCAAGCTGGCTGCCTCTTAAACCCCTGCCATACAGAGAACAGCAGAAAGTTGAATTCAGTACAACAGACTCTAAAATAGCTACAGGCTCCCTGTAGTGTCACAGAAATACAGCCATTAAAACAGTTTGACTTTTAAAGCAACAAAACCAATAACTAAGAAATCTGTGACCTTGTGCATCCCATGTGTGTATGTGCCTCTCTTTGTACATGTCATGGCAATTCTTAATTAAATGTTTGGAATAATTGAGTGGTATTTCCCAGTAAGTAGGAAGCAAAGGCTCTGGATTTATTTGTTTTAAAAGAGTCTTTGGCAGTCAAAGCACAGCAGCAGCGTGCACTCGGCTTCACTAAGGGAAGCCTTCCTTTATCTGCGCGTGGTTTCGTCTTTGTTTTGCTTTGAGATGAACACAGTGCTGTGCCAGCCACGTGATTCCAGCCAGGCTGCATCCCATCCGCTGTGGCTGTAAGTGAAGGGCAGGACTTAAGACTTTCATCTCAAGCAGCCAGTCTGTACTCACAACACACACAAGGTCATACTTTACTTTCAAACGACTAAGAAAGGTCAAAGTTTTGTTTGATAAGCACCTGTTCCAAGGCTGTTTTTATTCCAGAATACTGCGGTACAGATTTAGACTGTAATGGCTACATCGCCTCTCCGCTTCCATTTGAAGCAAAGCGGAGTTTCCTCATTATTTTCCTATTCTAATTTTTGGTCCGTTCTATACTAGCAGTCTCAAATGCCTGAACATCTTACTGAAAAATAAAAAGGAATATGCACGGTTTGGTTTCAAAGTGTAATTTCTCTGCTGTCTAAATCTCTCATTTCCTCTCGTCTCATTCCCTTACGCTCCTTTCAAGTTCCTCTCCACAAATTTCATACCTAAGTCATCAAGGTCTCAAGATCTGGCTTTTCTCACTCAACCTGCAAGTCCCCCTGATCTCCTGCCAGAGAAACCTTTCCACTCCATTGCTTAATTAGTGTCTGATTGAAAGAGAAGTTTAGGACCTAAGAAAACTTGGCAGAAACAGTACTGGACCAAGAATCCAGAGAGACAAAAAAAAGGGAAGGAAAGGGGTAAAAAGGTAAGAGGAACCTCTGTCTCTTGGTGAGTGGATTGGAAACAGAAGAGGCGACACGCGGACCTCACCGGCTCTAGAACCAGACAACTTAATTAATGTTTAGAGCTAACGCCTGAATCTGATCATCTCAATTCAGTGCCCCCTTTTCTTCTTTTGTGCCACTTGTATCTGATGAAAACACTGGTGGCATTTTCGCTCAGTAAAACAATAAAATATTAATCAAAAAAAAGTCGGGAGAAAAAAGCTGTACTCATTTGCAATTTAAATTACCTGAGACTTCCTGGCAATTAATTACAGTCTATACGAGTGAGCGAGGGTGGTTTTTTACATGCGTGTGCTTCCTCGTGTCATCATTCTGGTATTGTATCACAGTGTATTCAAGGCACAATTTACCAAGTGGCTTTCTTGTATCATGTCCCTTAAAGAGCACCATGAATGCCTAGTAATCACAGGAAATCAATTTAAGAAAACATGACAACACTGGCAGCACTGCTAACAGCCTCACAGCTTTCTAAATACACCCAGATGACACTTAACCAGAAAAAAGCTTGGGATTTTTTTTCCTTGTTTTTCATGACAAACATCAAGAGCAAAGCAGTAGGAGAAAAGCAACAATAACAGAGACAGAGGAGATGCGTGCTAATCATAGGACTCCCCTCAGGAGAAATGTCTTCAGACAGTTCATTTGTCACAGGAATCTGAAGATGACGGTGTGAACGAAAGGAATGGCTAATAGGTCATAATGCATATGATGTAGGGAAAATAAATATTGTCACATTACAGTGTATGGCAGGCACAAAGACTGTGCTCTCCCAAAGGCAATTAAAAGACAAAGGAAAGAGGTAATCGAGGTGCTGTGGTTCAGATAAGGATTGAAGAATTTTTTGCAGCTACTTGGTAGCCATCAGCACTTCCAAGGTTGGATAAAAAGCAGTGAAAATTAGGATGAGGATAAGAAGTGCTTAGAAAGAGAGAGAGCAATGCAGAAGAACAGCAAACAAGTTCAGATTCTGCAGAGTATACATCAAAATTTCTCTGCCTGCAAATACAGCAAACTAAAGAACTAGACAACAGTTTACTCTTCTGTAACAAAAGCATACAAACGCAGTGCTAGGGATGCTGCATTGTGAAGACTAAATGACCGGTCCTTCTTTACCACTACAATTTTTGAGGGCTATTGTTGTATTGAACACCACTAAAGTAAGAGGTTCTATTTTTAAATCTGAAAAAATAATGTCACAAGCTCAAAGTATTTTCTGCATGGTTTTCACATGCAATTTACAGGCCATATAAAAATGAATTGAGTCACAAAGATGTCACCATCTGGTTTGTAAACTGCCATTTCGAAGACTCAGTTTTAGCATTGTGGCATTGGCTCTCCTTTTTTGTTTGTTTGGGGGGTTTTTGTAACTGTTAAGTTACAAGATAAAACTACAGAGCCTGGTTAACAGTGCTGCGATGGACTGATGGACAACATCACACAGTCACAGAAACCTGCTAACGCTAGGCGACTGTTAGTCATGAAAAAAATAATGCTACAGGTTAAATGTTCACAAAAATGTGTACAGGGGAGTTATTTAAAAGTTTGCCCCCAAACAGCTGTTGCAAAAAAATTTAATTTCTGCTGGGCATTTTAGCATAGAAGTCCATGGGGACTCATCTTCAGAGCAAGTTGTCATGATTTGAGTAACTGGAAATGAAGAACTGTTTCTGGCACATCTGCATGAGCCTTATTATAGTCTTGGATGTTGCCACTCTGGTTTTAACCCATTCTGCACTTACAATAATTACAGTTTAATCAAAAACAGAAAGTGCAAAGTAGAAAAGAGAAAATGTTCTGCACTCCTGTCCTTCAACATCAGTTTTTGCACATCTTTATTGAAAATGTCATTATCACAACATCTTGACTGACAAGACACATCATTCCTGATTTTCTGCACAACAACCTCAGCACTAAAACCTCTTGCAACCATTCATTTTTTAACCTATGGTTCATTTCAAGAAGTCATGTTTTAACAAATGTTCTTACTTTACATTCACATAAGTGTCAAAATGGTTTATGTCTCTCCACACACTTACACTTAATGTCTCTCAACACACACTTAATCTTAAATGATATACAACAATTTATCAGCTCTTTGACATTAGAATTTCCTCAGTTTTTTACATTTCAGGACTACAGACAGTGAATAATTAGAAAAAGAAATAGTTTACAAACGACATAAGCAGAATAAATGTACCCTACAGATCAGAATTCAGTGCTATGTTGAGTTATAAGTGTAACTTGTGGGCTTCCTTAGGGCACGTCGTCATTTTTTACCTTTTACCTTGCAGAAGATTATGTTCAAGATGCCCCTTTCAAATGACACCTTAAAACCAAAATGCAGCCGGCAAAAAAAGCATGGCACAAAACAAGTTTGATCTTCTGTTTTCTGTATGTATAATGCAGAAGGTGTGACTGTGTAGCAAAAGGAGTATAGGAGGATGGGCCAACTTCAATCCACATTCTCATCCCATGTCTGCTTTCAGAAAGGTAGGCCAGATGAGGAGAGTGAGACCTGGAGCCCATTTATATTCATTACAGAAAGACAGTCTGCTCTCACTCTACCAGTCCAGTCACCATCTCTCTCCATCTCTCTGTCACATACTTCAACACGCCAGGGAAGAGACTCTGACAAACCAAAAGACAGATAGATTCAACTTCTTCTGCATAAACAAGAGGTAAGCGAGGTGATGCTGCGTCTGCCTCTGCCATCAGGATGAGAGCTAGAGGCCACCAGCTGTCCAGACTGTTACAGCCCCACGGTATACCGGTACCACATCACTAACATGTTACACACTAAGTGAATACATGACACTCGGCTCATGGTGTAATAATTCCTGTGCTGCGATATTCACTCCATCTGTAAATTTTACGTGGTGATAGCATATTCTGTGCATATGTTACCTCCATCTGCAAATCTGATATTGTGAAGAGCTTACAATGCATATTTACACTCGAGGACACATTTCTGTTCATTTGTTTTTCCATCTGTGCTTGTGACAATCTGAATAGCTGGTGATGCACATCGCTTGCACAGCCTTCCCAACCTCAGTGTCAGTGAGAACAATGCATATTTAGCTTGTTTACTTTCAATATGTCTAGCTGTTGGAGTATTATCTTTACTTCATTGCAGGATAAAAGTATTTATTGGCCCTTCTAAAAAAAAAAAAAAAAAAAATCTTAACAGGATCAAAGAAATGCCAAGTTTGCCAGACATTTCATATTTAAAACATTTCCAATCATTTAACTGGACTTGCTTGGGTTTGCCAGATAAAACGTGTAGATCACCAATAAGATTTCCATGCAGGATCCGTTGATGCACAGGTTAACAACCATGGCGTAGATAGGAAGAGAAATGGAGAAAGGATAATGTGAACAATGTTGTAGAGGTGAGGAGAATATCAGCCAGGATCATGAGTTTGAAGGTAGAAACTGAAGCGTTGATGCTGAATGTTCTTCGATGAAGAAATGCAAGTAAAAAGGAACAGGTGTGATGAGGTGGTGTTAGAGAGATATAGTGTTAAAAAGAGAAAAGTACAGATGGCAGAGAAAAGGATGGATGAGGTGAACATGCATTTCAGGAAGAGGCAGGAACATAGGGTGACAAAAGGTGGGGAGGACTGGGAAAGCACAGCTGAGGTGGTAATTTGCTAAGAAGGTGTACCCTGTGGACAGAGAAAAGGAGACTTGGCTTTGAATGAGGAGGTACAGGAAAGCATTCAAAAGGGTTAGCAAAGAAACAAGAGGGATAGTCAGGAGGACGAGTAAAGTAGACAGAGCATTGGGAGGCTAGGTGGCAAAGAGAAAGGAAAAGGTGTGTAGTGATTTCTATGTGAGGCTGGAAACTAAGGAAAGGAGCTGAAAGATGTTGAATATGGAGCTGCCAAGTAGGAGGAAAAGAGGAAGACGACAGAGAAGATTCATGGATGTGGTCAAGGAGGATATTCAGAAGGTTGATGTGACAGAGGAGGATGCTCGGGACAGGGTGAGATGGAGGCAGATGAACCACCGCAGTGACCCCTAACGGGAGCAGCCAAAAGAAGAAGCTCATGCATAGAAATGCTGGAGAGTGCACATTATTAAGCTGCTGGGCTGACAGAGCATACATCAGTTGTAATTTTCTCTGAATTGTTAGCCTGACTTCTCCCAGATTGTGTTCTTTTAGACCAACTATAAAACTCAAACAAAAAACATCTTTGACAAAGAACATTTGCTCATATTGTTTCCTCAATTAGACTGAACAGCCATAATGCTAAAACCACTGATAGTGTAATTTTCTGGGAATCTTCAGATCCTGATATTTACTTGGATGTTATTTGACATGAGGCACCCCCTAAACATCCTTGCAAATGATCACATAGCAATGTCACTGGCAACGGCCTGCAGTACAATGCACCGTACCACACTGGACGGGGGAGAAAAAAAAAAAAAGAAAGAAAGAGAGAAAGAAACAGAAGAAAATGAGTCAACAAACATGACACAGTGTTGACTTGGTCTCCAAATTCCTGAGATTCTAATCCGATCTAGTACCTGCAGGCTTTGTCAAAACAAAACCGGTCAATGCCTTATAACCCACAAGACCCAAAAATCTGATTCTAACATCCTGGTTGCAAATACCACATGGCACCTAAGAGGTAACATATTCATACGATGGTGGGAGCTGCAGGAGGTGAACCTGTATAATATTCAGCAGGTTGGATCATCAGCCTATAATATCTTCACAGATCAATAATTTGCAATTATGCCAGTGACTGTGGCTACAGAGCCAGTCGTCCTAACATAACATTCTTGGCAGTCCAGTAGGGTACCTGTTTCAGTGTAATACTTCACCTAATTAACTGATAGTTACAGCCAGGGACCACTGCTGCATTGCACATTTTCTCTTTATGCTGCTTCTGCTGTCATGGCGAAATAGTAGCAAAAACACATGCAGAAAAAATATTTAGCTTTACTATCCCTACATATAAAATGTCACTGTTGAAAAATTACAATCTACATTTACCATCACCACGAGTTTTTGGATTATGAACACAAGTGTAGGTGGTGTTCATTTTCTAAAATTAATACCTGTTCCAACATAATCTAATGTCACCTACTCTAACTTTACAATATATTGCCATTCTAAAGGCAAACGGATCCTATTGTGGTTACATAAGTTACCGGTATGTAGAGTTATAGCAATGTTTTTGTATGAAAAGGTTAAGTTTATCCAATAAATCCTTCAGTATGACCATATGGCAGGGACTTCAAGCAACCTGGTCTACTGTGAAATAGGAGTGACAGAACAAAACAACAAAAAGCCTTCTGGAATTCATTACAGCTATCGCAGAGTCTCAAAAACAGAAAATATATATATTATACAAAAGAAAAGGAAAAACACATTCTACATGCAAGCACACAAACACACATCAATACACAATTAGCCTGTCACTATCTTAATTCCCTTTACACGGAAAATAAAATGAAAATGTCAAAAATATTAAGTTACCTACTATCCTCTCCCTCAGAGAAACAGGTGGGAAGGTGCTGAGACATCGCCACCAGGTGGACAGGGGGTGGAGGTGCGTAATTTGGCCGCTACAAAGAAAAGCCAGAATCACAGCAGGGATCCTGGAGTGTTTAGAGGGTCACCTTGTGCAACAACAGGCACAGAGCAAACCTGTGAGGTACACAGACGGGCTGCAGAGTTGAGAGGGACAGACTACAAACACTGAAAACCTGCCAGAAAACTGAGGTTAAGTGACAAAGTGCTGCAGACTTCAACGTATGTGTGACGCATTTCTGAACGTAAATCAAATGCCCACATGCTAGCTCATCTTTTCACAGCCTAGAGCCAGGCCATGTTCTTCTATCACCACCACCACAATTCTCTTTCCTCCAGCTCTGGTGAGCAGTCTGACAGAGGGTTAATCAAGCCTGTTCATTATAACGTCAGATTTCATAAAAAGCTTAGGCAGTATGTGCAGATCCATCTGGGGGGTTAGCAAGATTGATCAAGTAAAGTAGCCGACCCTCATTTCTAAAACTCACAGATGGCTGGAGGTGCACATCCTGTCAAATAAGTACATGCACATGGATCATAAAAAAGGAAGATATCCCAAATATTCGTTATGAGAGATTCTGGATTTGTAGCAGAAATTAAGGGCAAGAACACTGAAAATATTTGAGCTTGCTGCAGGAGACACTGGCAGGCAAAACATGAAAAGCGAAGGAGAAAAGCCTCTCAGTGTTGAGAGAAAGAACAAGTCTAGATGTGGAGCATGTATAAAAACACTGTAAAACAGTGTCTGTCCATCTTGCCCGAGGCAGTGCTGATAGCCCTGACATTCACTCAGAGAAAGAAAAAGAGTGAAAACAGGGATAAGAGAAGGCCAGGAACAGTGGGCACACATGCATGACAGAGCTGAGCATAAATTCGTCAGCGGGTTGGGAAGACGCTGTAGTGTGTCGGATCCAGGACCGCAGGAGGTGTGATGGATTAAGAGGCACTGGCAGAGACAGAGGTCCTCCCTGAACCGTGGAGCAAACTCCAGCGAAACACCATCACTATCCCTCTCCATATCACCAGTCGTCTTCTCTCACTCTCCATTTCTCACAGCTTCCTTCTCTCTCCCCTTTTTAAATCACCTAAACTCTCCGTTTTCACTTCTCTTAATCCTTCTCAAGACTGCTATAAAACTGAGCGACCATGCCTTACCACATACCTTGCTTTAGATCTACTAATTCACGTGGCATTTTCTAATTTAGATGATTTCAAATGAGAAAGGTATTACTTGCAGCTAAGATAACAAAACTACTATAATGCTAGCAAATAAAACGAGACAGCTTAGCTCAAAATATATCCCCAGCTGTACTGCAACACATAACATACCGATGCATGTACTGTATGTAGTGTATGTACTGTAAGTACGTCACAGTGTTTGCTATAGTCATACCAAGAAATAATTACATTTTCAATACAGTAAGTGAAGTCAAATCTTCCAAACTGGAGGAGTTCCAAACCTCCTCTGGCATCAACATCAGCACAAAAAACATTTGCTTGGAGCTTCATGTCATGGGTTTCCATGGCTGAGCAGCTCCTGTCGGTGTAATATACAAGTAGCCCAGTACGTCTGTGCATCTAATGTAATAGTAAGGCTGAAAAGACAAGAAAAGAATATTTTGGCAGCATTTGCCCTTTTCCATCATCCTCTCTTAAATCCTCCCACTTCTCCGTCATATTCTGATCTTTACCAAATCTCTCCATTGCTCTTCTGTTGCAGAGCAGACCAGCTGCTACATGACTCAAGTGCACATAAAGGTTATATAAAGAGCAGCTTGTACACAATTTAAACTACAGTTAAAACGACTTGAGAAGTTTTAACACATGCAATGCAGTCCAGAATTTACACATGAATTACAGGTCGGGCAAACCTGTAGGTGAGAATGTAAACATCTGATTCAGTTGGAAAAGTTATTAGATGGTTTTTACCCTCTCAGCTCCCTAGTATAAAGTGTACATTGTGTTTCCTGCATCCTATATACTCTAGAAAAGTAGCAAACCTTGTCTAAATCAAACAGAGTAGTTCAAATCTATAGCCAACTATCTCATGCTATACAGTGTAGCACAAAAATGTTAAACCACTCGTCTTTTGTTTATTTTTTGTAGGAAATTTTGAAAAATGTGCAGTCAATGATTGAAACACATCCAAGCATACATAGAAATATATTCTATAAGGGAAAAACAGACTGGTATGTCCACCTTTGTTTTTCAGCACAGCCTGATCTCTCTTAGCCAAGCTTTCTTCTAATTTCTTGAAGTGGTCTTCAGGAATAGTTCTCCAGACTGCTTGGAGGACATTGCAAAAGTGCTTCTTTGCATACCAACTGCCTTTTGTTCCATTCTCTGTCAAGATGATCCCACGCCGCTTCAATGTTGCGTGCTCATGTCCAGGCTCTGAGGAGGCAAAACCATGACTGATTGAAACATGTCACTTCATAAGACCAGTTGCCACCAATTTTCAAATAAATTCTTGTGTAATTTGGCATACCTCAGTTTTCTACCCATTTCCCACCTTTAAAAATGAAAGAAAAACTGGAGAACACAAGACTACTTTACGAGTGGTAGCTCAAGATTTTTTGCACAGTACTATATGTGAGAATGGGAAACCTCTTGATTTTCCCCAACACTATTCAAATTGTGTGTGTCAAAACACCTGCGGTCTGTTCAAAGTTCCCATTTTTTCCCCACACAAAGATGCAACGTGTGAATAAATATATGAAAGTGAATGGCTTGGTATACTTCCTTACACATGCCAACTGCTTTTCTGCCTTTTAGGATTAGAAAAATGCAAATTAATCTGTTTGCATACTGGCAATATTCTTTTCCCATATTTTGCAAACTCCGATAGAAACCATTCCAATGTAACATTTTTATCAGTCAAATCTGCAGGAAAGATAAAGGACTTCTCTCACATATGGGGTACCTTTTGCAAGTGGTACAGAAATACAACCCCTGTAAATAATGTGCCATGCTATGCTGGATTTTTATGGGCCACATCTCAAGCCTCTCAGTCTGCATTCACACAGTTTGTCCTTGTACACTTCTCCAGTGTGATCAATTAGCTCTATATACTTACTGACAACGCAAGTGACAAACTAATACTCCTAAGCGTAGACACACACAAACAAACACACACAAAGACACACAGCAGAAACAGAAAAAACCCGCTGAGAAAATTTGCAGCCCTGAAAAAATAAAAATTATTATATACTCTGAGACAGACATCAAATCATAGTGGGCCCATGTTGCCAAGATAACAGAGAAAAGCTTTTTAAATGACAAAATGATATTGGCTGCAGCAAGTCCAGAGGTTTTTCACTGTCTTCTTTTCCAGTGCCCAAAGCAAAGTCTGTCTTACTATCGAAACAAAAATCTTCTTTTAGCAATGTATTTCTTCTAAACTAAACTGATACAAACATCATTTGTATAACGTTTTCATACACTCACTGAGGCAAGGCTTCATTCAGCTTCACCAACTGTTCTCTTACATATAACTCTCCCTCTTTAATTTCTGCCCAGCAGAGGCTCTCTGCACGAAGTTTCAGTCTCGTGAAGTGAGCTGAGCTTGAAGCAAATGGGAGGAGTGAATGGAGAGAGGCAGAGTTGTTTTGTTACCGCACTCAGTGCAATGATGCAATTTATAATTAAAATGCAAATGGAACGACAGGGAGTCTCTCTTCACCTTGTTTTCACTTTACTCCAACATTCTCAGGGGAGGCTGATCTCTGCCCGGGATCTATGTATCCAAGTCAGTAAATCAATTTTATATGAAGCACCGAAATCAATTTGAGACTTAGGCTATACAAAAACTCAAGTACAAGACACTGTTTAGCTGAGAAAAAAAACTTGAGATGCATAGATGGACACATCCAGCCTGTGGCTATAAAAACAGTCTTTTGCTTTGCTATGATGATGTGAGGGATTTTAAAAAGCTCAAATCCCTAAATTGAAAACTAAAAGCAATTATTCAGCAACAAGAAAACACAGACCTGTCTGACACGTCCACCACTGACCTGTCTCTGTTTTGACTATAGCTTATCACAAAAGGTGGTTCAAGCATCCCCTAAGCTTTAATCTCAACAAACAACAAAGATAAACACTGTGGAATGAATCATTTGAGAAAGTTTTATATCAAAAGTGTGCCTGACAGAGAAAACGATGGAGAGGAGGCCTTTTTTAGTGGTTGTCCTTCAGCATGACTTTGTCATGTAACACATTTCCAGCTCAATTATCTGCATCCAGTGGATTTCAAACACATTTAGCAAGGACCAGAGAGCTTGGTAATTAGCAGGATCCCTGGCTCATAAGGGGACCAAAAACAAAGCCCGTCTTTAGCTCTATCTTTATCCCCTTCGTTTGTCTAATCTCTTCTTATCCTTCTCTTTTCACAAAGGGTGTTGGACATCATGTATGCACTCTGTCAGTTTCTTTGTATGCCAACAGGTTTCAGCTTTTCTGGACCAAAGCATTATGCAAAATGAGAAACTTGGAGTAGGCCTGAAAATTA